TTCAGATTTAAAAAAAAAAAAAAAAAAAATTACAAGCCAGGCACTCAGAAGTCAGAAGCAAGTGGATCTCTGTGAGTTCAAGGCAAGCCTACAGTGAGTTTCAAAACAGCCACCGCTACATAGTGAGATCCTGTCTCCATAAGCAACAACAACAACAAAAAAATTACAAATACCTATAGTTAACCAATACAACTTTTTTTTTTCTCCTTTTGAGACAAGGTCTTACTCTATATTATAACCCAGGCTGATCTCAAACTTGGGATCCTCCTGCCTCCACCTCCTGAGTGCTGAGTTTACACGCTTATGCCACCATGTCTAGGTTCACCAAAAGAACCTCCAAAGATGGTCATCAGGAGAAAGAAAACCAGCTCCAGAAGAAAGCCTCAGATAGACACAAGTAATGAGGGTTGTTATTTGAAAATTCAAGCCAAATAGCTAATTGTGCCCACTGTAGGCTTTCAGGAAACACAGAAGGCTAATGAGACAGCTAGGGGACAGTAACAGTGCTTGCCACTGATATGACAGACTAATCCTTGCATTCACACAGTGGGAGGAGAGATTCCTCAAAGTTATCCTCTGACCTCCACACTCATGCCATGGTACCTGCCTACAAACACTCAAAACAAACAAACAAACAAAAACAAAAAGGGGGGTTCAACAAAACAAGATTGAATAACAGCAGTAAGATGGAGAAACGACAGTTAAATGTCTGTCTGGACGGCCACTCTGGAGGTCATGAGCCTGGACTTCATACAATTCACCAGTGCTCAGCTACAAAAGCGATCTCAGGAGTACTACTGAATGCTGCAGAGTACTACTGAATGCTGCAAGGCAAGCCACAAAGGAGTTATAAGTGTGAGATAATGGGGAAAGGGCAGGGCACTGCAGGCGACTAAGTGGTAAAGGGCCAGAAGTAGTTAAGAAAAGCATATCCTGTTCTTCCTCCCATACGGGACATGTGTGCTCTTTCTAATTCTCTAAGTCAAAACCAAACAAACCACCTCTCAGAAACAATAACCAGAGGAGAGCAACAGTTTAAGAGGTCAGAAGCCTATTATGACCTTGGGCAGGTCACTTGACCGACCCTCTGAGGCCTTCAGGCTTGGGCGGTGTATCATGACATCTACCCTTCATTTGATGATAACCGAACTGACTCAAAAGGGAATGTCACAGCAATGATCTCTTACATACATTAGTCACCGAGCCAGGCAAGGACAGCACAGAGCAGACAAGCCAGGCATCAAGTGCACGGCAAGGCAACAGGTACTGGGACTCATGCAGGGAGCCCTGAGCAGAGCCAAGGGTAGTGTTATGTGTGCAATCCACTTGTCTTTCCATCTGTATGTAACAGTGGTCTCTGAACAACCCGCTGCTGGCCGGCCACCTTAGTTACTGTAGGCGCTCATTACAGTTGCCACATGAAGTTCCAATCTATGCAAAGACACCAGCAAAAGGTTTAGTCAAGCTTTTGAACCTACCCAAACTTAGAAGATTAAGGCATCCCCAAAATAATCACATCGACTTTCTTCACACCAATCTCCAATAAGGTACACAGCATCATTTCAACACAGTAAACCAGCTAGGGCATTGCTGACCCACCAACAGGAATGTCATCTGAGGTTTTCCAAAACACTTATAAAATTGTTTCATTGAAGAGAGAAACACATTTATTAATATATTCTAATATAGTTCCTAAACCCATACTGGAATTATCCAGGAATGACCTGACAGTAAAAAAGAAAAAAGAAAACCACATTTTCCAAACATGTTTCTATCTTTCTAGACTTACTCTTTATAACCTAAAAATCAAACACATTTTGCAATTCTATACTTTGTAACATGTCTTTTCTACCTCACTTATGAAGTTTACTGCCTTCAGAGGATTGTTATACCCTGTTATATTTAGCCAGGTAAAGCCTATCACCAAGGCGCACACAAACCACCATTAAGCAGACTGCAGACTGTTGCATGAGCACCCTGAATTCTCCCCAAAAGCAAGTCTTTCTCTATTGCACATGGAAGGGGTTAGACACCCAGGCTACACACTCCCTCCTGGGGTTTCACATCTTAGCATGCATCCATGACATGGGAAAAGATTAGAAATTGTATATGTGTATATGTTCTCTCTCTCTCTCTCTCTGTTTGTGTGTGTGTGTGTGTGTGTGTGTGTGTGTGTGTTTAAGAAATGTTTATGGGGGCTGGAGAAATGGCTCAGTGGTTAAGAGCACTGACTGTTCTTCCAGAAGACTCAGGTTCAATTTCCAGCACCCACATGGCACCTTCCTGCTGTCTAGAATTCCAGTTCCAGGAGACTTCACACTCACACAGAGATGCATGCAGGTAAAACATCAATACACGCGCGCGCGCGCGCGCACACACACACACACACACACACACACACACACACACACACACAAAATGTTTATGTTACCTTTGATATAATACTGATTTTTAAAAATTACTTATTTTAATTTCTAAGAGTCTTGACTACAGTCTTAAATACCCAAAGACCTAGAAGGCTTTACTACCTCATACAAGTAAACATTTGTATAAATATCTTTAAAATGACATGTATGAATATACTTAAAAATACATATGAACACAAACAAGTGTGGATCTTGGCCACCATGGTCGCATTACCACATCCCTGACAAGTAAGTTTGTTACTCTATTCCAATGATGGGAGGTAAGGGACATGAATAGTGCCACTCACCACTTCAGTGATCAGCCTCCAGCAGTGGCCTCTTTGATAAACACCTGGAACACTTAGAAGCCAATTTAGACCTAGCTACACACAGTCTTCTACTGTACCCTATTTGGGATTGCATTTATCTCTTCCCTCAGCTCTTAGTGGGGGTGGGGGAAGGAGGCCTTGTCTTAGGCCCTTCTGCATTCCCTTTCAGCTCAAAACACAGCGTTAAGTGCATACTCGTTGATTAATTAACAGCCATAGCAGAGTAGATATTTTCCACGGCAATTGGGAGATAATTAGGATGTAGATAAAGTAAGCTAAATGGAGAGACGGTTACATACCCAGACAGGAACAAGGCTGTGTAGAGTATCCAAAAGAACATATTCAGAAACAAGGCACACGAGCTTACAGGCACAAGCCCTCTCCGACTGCACAACAGAAGGCACATCAAAACTCATAATGCTAACACTGCTTAGCTTTGAAGTATCCTTGCTGCTCTTTTGTTCTTACATGAGAAGCTGTGTGCGGTACAGTTCCTTGTTGCATATTTCTATAATGCAATCTCAAGTCTGTATGAAGCATGCTATCCTACCAGCCTAAAAAAAGAGGTGCAGTAGCCAAAAAACAAAGACAAAAATCAAACAACATGCACGCCACTCCTAGGTTAACACGCACAGAATTCTATTAATAAAAACAAAGGTCATCATCTGTTTGATTTCTCATTCTCACTCCAGAATGACAGGATTATTTTAAATTAATTCTTGCAAGGACTTTAAAAATCTATTCCACCAAATTCTTTATCTTTTTTCAACCTCCTTTAACCTCCTAGTGAAAATTATGTAGCAATTCCAGCTCTAAAACAAGTATGATGCAAATTAAGCTATAATGTATGATGGAGACAGCCCCGGTGTCTTTATAGCTTTAAATGTATGACACAGGAGAGGACAAAGCATACCCAACATCTCCCTAGCTCTTCTAACAATGGTCTTGGGAGAATTCATTCTTTTCCCTTCCAATAATTATCGTAAATTTCTGTGATTCCCCGAATGTCTCAATTAAACACAGTGTTTATGTTTCTCACACATTTCAAAAAGTGAGCGTGCCTGTCTGTCCTCTCCCATCTTTTGTCTCAGAACACCAAAGCCCTTCAGGATTTTTACTTTGGCACTCGTACAATAAGCACTGTAGGACTGATGAGGTCAGTAGACAACCAGGCAGCTCTGGGCAGCCAACCAAAACCTAGAACCCCCTAGCTCCTTAAAACTCGTTGGGCAATCAGACCAGACGCTCTGGAGCCTCAGGGGCCCCTTTGCAAGTCATGAGGATGTTAAAACAACAGTGACAGAGAGACACCTTTCACGTGTACACACGTGAACACAGATGATCCTACTTTTCAGAAGGCGAAAATACAACTGGCCTTGTTCTCTTAGTTTTTAAGAGTCCAAACACCATCTCAACCTTGATTTTTAAAAATTAAAAACAACAACAAACTCTTGAGGGCAATTTGATCAGACACAGGGGGAAAAAATCCTCCCTTCAAAGAAATGTACCTGGTGACACTCCAAGGAGAAGGGGTACTCAGAACCTGTCCTTGAGTCATGAACGGTGGGATTTGAGGAAGAGAAGCCCCTTGGCTTCCTGGGGCTTTAAAACATTTTCTCTCTCACCTTGGGGCTACAGAAGCTGTAAGTGAAATTCTTCCACTCATCGCTACTGAGAGTATTACAGTGATATAAAGACACACACACACACACACACACACACACACACACACGAGAGTATTACAGTGATATAAAGACACACACACACACACACACACACACACACACACACACACACACCCTCAACTTCATTGCCTTCTTTATCCCTAAGGTGACCATGCTCTCCCCCCACCCCACCCAATGCGAACCTGATTTTACAAAAAGCAAAGTCATGGGGCAGTGCGGGTGTGGTGGTGGTGGTGGTGGGGGGGGGGGGGTTGCATGTTCTCAAAAGGACTCAAAGATCCAGAAAAGCAAAGGGCTGAAGGATCGCAAGGCAGCCGCGGTGTAAGAGGTTCAGCTGGCTTGCGGGCTGTCGCCAAGCATCCATTCACTGGGGTGTGGGGGAGTGCAGAATGCTGGGGTCGTCACCAAGCCATCCTAGATGCCCACCCTCTGCCCTCCGTCCTCTCTGTCCCCGTCCCCTCAGGCAGGACCACCCCTGAGCAGAGGGCGGCCCCGGCCTCCCCGCGTGGGGAGGGGAAGGACGGGGTAGGGGTCAGGCCGGGCTCGTCCAGGTGGCCGCGCCGGAGGCTCCGGGCACTCACGTTCTCTGTGTCCCGCTCGTTCACCGTGGGCAATGGCGTCCGCGCCGACATCTTGCGCGGGCGGAGGGGTCGAGCCGGGGGGTCCGGCGGGTCGCGGGCCGCGGAGGGCTTCGGCGAGGGCGGGCGGGCCGGCGGGCTGGCGAGCGCGCGCGGGCGGGCGGACGAGCGGGCGAGAGAGCGAGCGAGCAGGCCGCACCGGGGAGCGCGCGGCTCCCGCAGGCCGCGGGGCGGGAAGGCGGGCGAGGACGCGGGGGCCGGGCTGCGGGGACGCCGGTCGGGCGCGGCGGGTCGCGCGCGGGCTGGCTGGAGAGCGGGCGAGCGCCCGGGAGCTGCCTCAGTGCGGCGCCGGCGCCGGGCGAGCGCGGCCCTGACAGCGCCCCCCGCGCGCCGCCTCAGGTGAGCGCCGCCGCCACCGCCGCCGCTGCCGCTGCCGCATCCGCGCCGGGCCCCGCGGCCCCGAGCCCGCGCGCCGCTCCGCGCCGTCCCCGCCGCGCTCAGCCGGAGCCCTCCGCGGCCCGAGCCGGTGCGCGCCGAGCGGGCGGACGGGCGGGCGGGCGGGCGCGGCACGCAGCGCCCCGAGGCTCTTGGCCGCCGCCGCCGGGTGGGCGGGCGCCAGCCGGGGGGCCTCTCCATTCATCCCCTCATTAGGGATGCGGGGCCGCCTCCGCCAGCCCCGCCGGGTTTCGTGTGGGACTCGCCCCACCCGCCCATCTGGTTGTGTCCTCGGAACCTCCGCTGCCTCGCGGTTTGGTTTTGCTTCTTGCGTGGATTTGAAAGCAGCAGTGGGGACACGGTGTGTGGGTGCGAACGAGTCACAGTGCCCTCCTTCCCCCGTTTTGTTTTTGTTTTAATGGTGCATTTGTGTGTGTGTCACTGGAGGGAGCATGGGGTACCATCCTGAAGTTGTCGCCCCTTTGATAGCTTGCCTCGAGCCTCCTTTTCGGCCCCCTTCTGCCCCCGAGGTGGTGTTCAGGGTCAGGACCGCACAAAAGGCACAGAAGCCTCCTGTAAGGAGCTGGCCCAGAAAGCGTGTGGAAGGAGAGGGCTCCCCACACCCCACAGCATCCCTGGAGTGGGCGCGACTTGGGAATCACGGTGTCTACATTGGCTGATCGTCACTTCCTGGGATACAAGGAAGTGTCACTTAGGCCAGTTTATTGGGGAGAGTAGAAGGCTGTCTGTGACTGTGGCCTGGAACTCTTCTTTCCCAGGTGGCTTTCTTACCCTTCCATCCACCTGCCTCTCCTTGGGTCTTGTATACATCGTGTGTTGTACTTTGTCCCAATACAGTATGTTCCTGTCCTTATTCTGATGTTCTGCACACCTGGCCTCTAGGATAAAAAACCTTGCTGTCTCCAGTATTGTATTCCTTTTCTCTCCAGTCCCCCCCCCCACACACACACACATTATTCCTTCGTGGATAGGCAGGGAGATAAAAGGAGAGTTAGATGGGGCAAGATTGATGGGTTTTGTTAAGCAGCTTTCTTCAACCTCAAACGGGGAATCTTGGGACGATGGGAAATTCCTTTTCTTTCTTGAATGCATCTGTTTGAAGGAAGAATTCCTGCACCAGATGGTTTTTATCCTGACTCATTAAAAGTTGTTTCTGAAACCTTAACACTTGACCCTTAAAACATGGGCCTAAAAATAGCAAACACATATCTTGAGGGAATGTGTGTGTGTGTGTGTGTGTGTGTGTGTGTGTGTGTGTGTGTGTGTGTAATTTCTCACACGGTATGTAGTCACTTCCATAACACCAGCTGCATATTTATTTCTCTAGCATCCTATGTTGTTTATGTTTCTCAATTCCACAGAGCAAATGAAAATCACAAGACCCCTTTGGTGGTCTCTACTACTACTCAAGTAGCACCCAGGCTTTGGAACTAATCGCAAGGCCACAGCTTGAACTATGGTGTGTCACACTTCTGAAATCTGGGTTCACCTAGGTATACTGAAGCATGAGTTTATGCTTTTCTGATCAGTTGAAGGCTGTTCACACAGCAGCCGCACTGAACCCTGCTAACACAGTATTGTTTCTTGCATCTGTAGCTTGGATTTCACCGATCAGAGGATGTTTGCCTATTATCTATGTCCTCATCCTTGTGGTGACCCTGACAGGCATATTTGTTTATGTTTTACAAACTTCTGCTGAATTGACTTATTCATGACCATAGCTGCATCAGGGTAATGAGACACAGAATAGGATAGCTGGGATGTAGGGAAGTGTCCAGTCTTGCACCAGTCACAGAACCTGTGAACTCACCCCTGTAAGGGATAAGGCTAATTAAAGACAGAGCTCAAAGGAGAGCCCAGGATCCAGGCCCAGTGTCTTCCTCACAGAAAGTACTTTCAGCCACATCTGTTGTTCTTTGCTCAAATATTGAAATTGAGTGATTATTATTTAATAATATTAAAGGACAACCCTGAGCAGGTTTCAAAGCTATGGAACTACATTCAAAGGGAATCATTTTCAAATAACCCAGATTTATAATTCTATCTAATAAGATAGACGAGAAAGAAGTGTACCTTTTAAAAATGCTGTTTAATTTATGGTACTACCCAAAGACCTGGACTTGGTATATAGTAAAAATGCACTTTTCATAGGAAAAATAAAATCCCCTCTGTTTTATATGCCCTAGTGTGATCTCTTCTGCTCTCAAATTGCATAAAGCTTAGGGACAGGATCAAAACAGTTTAACCTTAGCCCTCAAAAACAAAAATGCCCACAAGCAAAATTTTCATATATAGCTTCTTACAGCTATGACTTCATGGAAATGGCAAGAGGAATATTGTTAGAGTTTTAGTGATTTTCTTCCAGGCAATTAATGAAATGTGGCATGTGATTAGAAGCTTCTGCTGTACAGTGGTAGCGTTTAAAGGCTTCAGAAGAAAGTTGAACTTGTGACAAAAAAAAAAGGGAAATGAGGATTTATGAGGTGCTAAACTCACATGGACTTTTCAGTGCCGACACTGGCCAGTACTATGGACACTAGCTACACTTGGCTCCTGAGCACTTTGAAAGTCAATTTCGTTTGTATCATAAATAATTTAAATTCAGAAACCAATTTGATTCAGTATTTGGACATTTTAAAGTTATTTAGAAAGACTATAACTCTGAGATCTACTTTTTCAACTCCAAATTTTCTACAGTCTAAACCAGATCAAGTATTTTGTATGAAGACATATCACCTAAGGTCTGGGAAGGTGACTCAGCAGAGAAGAGTTCTTGCTAAGCAAATACAAAGACCTGAGTTTGAATCCTAAGCATCATGTAAAAAGCCAGGTTTGGCAACTCTGACTGTGACCCCCTGTAATGTAGGGTGGAGGATGAGGGGGACAGAAGGGATGCTTAGCTTGGCTTAGCTCCAGGTTCACCAAGAGACACTGTATCAAAGGAATAAGACACACACATATACAAGATACTATACTCTCTCTCCTCCCCCCCACAAACATACATACACACATACAAAATCACACCTGCACTAGGCTGTACTTAGTACTTAAGTACTAAGTGCATATATGTTAAAGGTATAAGATGTCTCATCAACGGACATGGATTGCATATTAAAGTGCAAATATTTTAATATATTTTAAGCTAACAGAAGTAGATTTATACAATTAATTTCAGCATTGTATATTTTTATAATTAATTTCAGCATTGCTTTGAGTTTTCAAGTGTAGCTACTGGGGAATGTTCACATATATAAGTGGCTTACATTGTTATCCTCCTAGCCCTTCTCTATGAGTTCAAATTGAGAATAAAAAGGTTTAAATGCTGAAAAGTCAAGGGCCTTGATTAGAAGCTATTAATTATTTATTCTGTGGAGAGTGGAACCCAGCACACATTTATTGAGTAGTGCATGCCCAACAGACACTGTTCAAAGAGATGATTTTTTTCACCTAACGATTAGTAGCAGTAGACATTATAATCTTTTTAAAGAATTTAGTGGGAAACATGTTAAAGCATACAAACAAGCACCGGCAGATTACAGTCATTTGTAAACAAGGATAAATCAAATGTGACAGAGTCAACAGCATTAAGAGAAAATTCACAAAGCTACAGATTTATTATATCATCTGAGCTTCACTCATGTACTGTGGCACATGTGCCCCTCCCAACTGGCCACACACACAGGAAGTTAACTAAAATGTAAAATGTGCCTAATGTCTAACAGACATGGCTGCACAATAATTATTTATTGAGAGCATACTTTATTTCAGATTCCGTGGGAACTTACACCTTTTCATTTAACTGCTTAAGATAAGTGACAGTATGGACAGTTCTATAAGACGATAAAAGGCGATCCCAGCTTACAACAACAAACAAAGCAAAATAGGGCTAATGCCCACTAAGAAAGAATCATCATTTCTTTTCATAAATAATCTGGGTTCTGACTACATTCCTGTGGTTAGCAAGTCATATTGTCATTGTGTGTCAGCATTCATCACTCAAATAGTGGAATGGACAAAGGTTTCAAGAGAAGAGATACACTGCACTTTAAACTGTAAGGCTGCCAGGTGATGTATGCCTTTAATCCCAGCATTCAGGAGGCAGAGACAGTCGGATCTCTGTGAGTTCGAAGCCAGCCTGGACTACAGCCTGGAACTAGTTCCAGGATAGACAAAGCTACACAAAGAAACCCTGTCTCAAACCAACCAACCAACAGAACAAACAAAAAATTTTAAAGCTGATCTTGGGAAGCAGCTCCGTGGGTTAAGGTGCTTGCTTTGCAAACATGAGGACAGGAGTTCAATTCCCAGAACCCACATAAAAGGCAGGGTATGGTGGTGAACACTTACAGTCCCAGTCAGGGGGGTGTGCTGGATAGCCTAGCCTGTCTGGCTAGCTCCAGGTGTGGGGAGCAAAGTAGATGACTCTGGGGGAGTGACACCTGAGGGTGATCTCTGACCTACACGCACACACATATCTCTCTCTCTCTCTCTCTCTCTCTCTCTCTCTCTCTCTCACACACACACACACACACACACACACACACACACTCAAATGCACACACACATACACTCACACACTGGCACACACACACACATACTCACCCCTCACACACACACACACCACACACACACACACCCCTCACCCCTCTCTCACCCCTCACACATTGCTCATTAACATTAAAAACTCTAAAGTTGACATTG